AATAGTGGAATATTTATAGGAAGAAGTCCTGTTAAACCTATGTAGGAAACAATAAAGTTGCCTTACAGAGGAAGAAAAATAATTTTTCCTTTATCCTTCTAGGCTCTTGGCTGAGAGTCCCCTGTAAAAAGAGAGATTAACAGGAGAAAAACAAACAGAAGTTTAATAATCAATACACTTCCTGTACATGGGAGATACCTAGGAAAGTGACTAACTCACCAAAATGACCCAACGTACCACCTTAAATACCATCACCAGGAAAAGATAAAAGGAGATGTTGGGGGTGGGAGCCAGTTATGGGAGGCTATCAAGTAAAGCATAGCAAACAAGGGTAAGGTTTTTAGGCAGATTTAGGTTGTTGCCTTCTTCGTTACGAGTTTGGGGATACCTGGGTGGCTCACTTGGTTAAATGTTCAGCTCTTGAGCAAGGATGGGGCTCTTGACTTTGGCTCAGGTCATGATCTCATGGTTCCTGAGTTCAAGCTCTGCATCTGGCTCTGCACTGGTAGTGTGGAGCCTGCTTGGGATTCTCTATATCCTTCCTCTCTGCCACTGCCCCGCTTGCATACTCTGTCTCTCTCTCTTTCTCAAACTAAATAAATAAACTTTAATAAAAAGGTTTCTAGGGGCACCTGGGTGGCTCAGTCACTTAAGCGTCAGACCCTTGATTTTGGCTCAGGTCATGACCTCATGCTCGTGGGATTGGGGCCCACATCAAGCCCTGCTTGGGATTCTCTCTGTCCTCTGTCTTTCTCTCTCTTGAAATAAATAAATAAAAACTAAAAAAAAAAAAATTTCTACATCTTCAGTCATCCTCCTCTTTTAGTTATAGAAATGGAAACATTCTTACAAGTGGAAATTTCCCCTATACATGTAAATGTCCCTTACTGGAAACTTATTTTATACTCAATTGTCAGAGCTTTTCCTCTTTCTGTTGTTTCTTTAAAACTAACCAGCTCAAGGGGTACCTGGGTGGCTCAGTCTGTTAAGCCTCCTACTTTGGCTCAGGCCATGATCTCACTGTGAGTTCCAGCCCCGCATCAGGCTCTGTGCCAACAGCTCAGGGCCTGGAGCCTGCTTTGGATTCTGTGTCTCCCTCCCTCTCTCTGCACCTCCCCCGCTCATTCTCTGTCTCTCTCTCTCTCTCAAAAATAAAATAAAAACATAAAAAAATAAAAAAAAATAAACAGCTCAAGCTAATCCTTATGCCAAAGAGGCAAATTCTCCTCCCCTTCATGCCTAAAATATTAATTTTGATTCTCATTCCTCCTATTATTATATTGTAATTTTCCTCTCTTTTGAAATATTAAAAACACTATGACCAGGTTTAACAAATGACATAGACATGTTTATTATTATTATTTTTTGAAGTTTACATATTTCTTTATTTTGAGGAAGAGAGAGGGAGATAGTGCCTAGTAGGGGCAGAGAGAGAAGGAGAGAGAGAGAATCCTAAGCAGGCTCCATGTTATCAGCACAAAGCTAGATGTGGGGCTCGATCCCAGGAACTGTAACATCATGACCTGAGCTGAGATACAAAGTCTGACGCCTAACCAACTGAGCCACCCAGTTACCCTGACATGGACATGTTTAAAAGAAGAATTTCCCAAAGCCACAAAACCTTAAATTTGTTATAGAAACATTTTAACCTAGAAATGTAAGACCATAGATATTTCAATATTACACTTTAGCCTATGTGTAAATGTTAATGTTTTTAGGGTTATTATTTATCACAGGTTTTAGCTGACTGGTTGCAAATTTTAATTTCATACATAGACTTGCTGGTTTATTCAAACCATAATATTATGTAGTTAATAATTTAAATTCTTTATACTCTTTGACTAGCCAATATTTTTCAGGAGATTGCACTAATGCTTCTATTGTTATTCAGTCTCCTATTCCAGGATTTAGGAGAAACTTACAAATGTCATCTCTTTGATTTTATTTTAACTGTAAGATTGATTGCATTTTATTGGCTTTTAATGTGCAACATAAAAAAAATCAGTACTGCCACGTTTGGAGATTTGGATGTGATTGCATACTTTATAAAGAATTTTGAACCATATTATGTATTCATATTCTCATTAACAGTCATCATTAAAATTGAAAATACTTGCAGAATATTCTAATACTCATTGTGCTATTTATAAAAATGTTACACTTCAGGGATACCAATGTAATAAAAACATGGAATGGTATCTTGGAAAAACTAGCCTCATAGATGTTATTTTCTATACTTCCTTCATTTAAATATGCTTTATTAGTTAGTTTTTTAAAAATGTTTTTAATGTTTATTTTTGAGAGAGACAGAGTATGAGTGGGGCAGGGGCAGAGAGTGAGGGAGACACAGAATCCGAGGCAAGCTCCAGGCTCTGAGCTGTCAGCACAGAGCCCAACACAGGGCTTAAACTCACCAACTGTGAGATCATGACCTGAGCCGAAGTTGGACTCTCAACCAACTGAGCCACCAAGATGCCCCAAATGCTTTATTAATTCAAAGAGCCAAATAGTGAATCCTATTAGCAAAAATTTTACCTCAAGTGGCAATCGTTAGCAGAACTGATTTATCAATTGACAGAGTCAAGTTTCGAATCCTGGACTGGAGTCTTGGCAGAGTAGGTAATAAGTGCTGGGACTTATTTAGTATGTGACCTTGGAGGACAATTTCCTTTTCAGCAAATTGGCACAATTAAATCCATTCTCCCTATTTCATATAGGCTTATCAGTTCATCATCCAAAGTGCTGTTCAATGTCATCATTTGATCAATTACTGTATACACTTACTCTGCAATATAAGCAGTAGCATAGGCTAATGTGATCTATATATAGAAAGTAGATGGTTGATGTAGCAAGTTTGCTTCAGGAAAATTCCTTATCAGGAAAAAATATAGTAAAGATCTTGATTCATCAAATTTTAAATATGACCACCACAAAACTTTAGTGGTTAAAAAATAGACATACCTACTTTATCTTCTCCTCTATTCTTTAATTTCAAAACTAAGTTGTCTATTCTAGCTGGCTAATATTCTCTGTATGTGCTATGTCTTGGAGAAAATATGTGGGAAGAAGAAACTAAATGTACTTAATGCTACTAAACTATACACTTAGAAATGGTGAAGATGATAAATTTCATGCTATGCATTTTTTTACCTGCAATTTTTAAAAATCATTGATACTTCCTCCTGTCTTATACTTCTAGTGGCATAATTTTTCTGAGGTAAAATGTGACCAATAAATTTGATCATATGTATATGTTGGGAAAATTTAGATTTCCTAATATTTCCTTTATACAAACTATCAATATTTTCCTTGGTTATTAGATTTCAAACATTTTTCTCCATCCAGCAATAAAAATCAATCCCATGGCTTACTCTGACTCAAAGAAGATTTTTCTTTTCACCTTTTCTAGATCCTGCACAATTATCAGCACTCATTATGTGATGTGTGTTTTGTAGGCATTATTTCTAACTACCTCAACTGAGTGACTACAAAAGAAAGCAATAATTAAAGACTGTATTTGATGTCAGTGTGATGTTTAAGAGGAAATAAACATTTTGAGAGAGATACATACTCCTTGATTATTTTGAAAACTCAAGCAATAAAAATGCCCTATCTCTACAGTATACCTTATCAATTTTTTTTATTTTTATTTTTTGACATTTATTCATTTTTGGGGGGGGGAGGGGCAGAAAGAGAGACACACACAGAATCCAAAGCAGGCTGCAGGTTCCAAGCTGTCAGCAGAGAGCCCAACGCGGGGTTGGAACTCATGAACTGTGATGTGAGATCATGACCTGAGCCAGAGTCAGATGCTTAACTGACTGAGCCGCCCAGGTGCCCCAGCCTTATAAGTTTTTCACTCAGATTTGAATTAAAATTTATTGAAGAAAGATACAGTGATAAAAGCAAATTTTCTATCATTTATTAATTATATTTAAAATTTACATGAATCTATTAAGGACAATGTGTAATGTTTCCACTTTATGCTTTAAACAATTACAAACATTTGGCATAAAATAATGTGCATATCAATGTAACAAGTTTGAAAAATGGGGAATGAGAATCTGGAGTCTGCCCTCCTTCTAACAATGATCATTAATACTCCAAATGAATGGATCATAGATTTCTCCCTCAAAATTCTAAGTTGTTTTTGTTTTTTTTATGAACAAATTTCTAAAGGACTTGAACATGCAGTGATATATATAACATTCAGAGTAACTAGCTTCCATGCTTACACTGAACTCAACATAAGGCAAAAGCCCATAATTGTACTGATTCTTTGGCTCAGTGTGTTCAAAAAGCAAAGCAATGTGGTAAGCCTAATGAAAACAATCCTTTGTGTTTGCCAGCTTCAGATTGCTAATACGGCTGCAACAAATTTCAACCATCCACTCTGATGATATAGCAGTTTTGATTAGCAGAACAGTTTGTTTTCTGAATGCAAGAGACAGGCATGAATCTGTTTTTCTAGTTGTTCTCATAGTTGAGAAAATGAGGAAGAAGTGTGTTTGTTTTAATGAAATATCATTCTGCCTCCTGGAATGACCACAACTGATTAGGAAAACAGTAAACCAATCAGGTTCTGTCAGACGAAATATCATGTCTTTGACCTCTTTGATATTGCCACAAACTAATAAAACAATTGAATGAGTTGTAGTCATGAAATTATCCGTGTCACAAATATTGGTCTCTCTTCTTAATTGCTCAAGAAAAACAAGCCTTTGGTAACTTTAGTTATTGTATTCTACAATACAAAACAAATTACCAATAACCATTCCTGAACTAACTAATATACGGCCAGACATTGTTTCACAGCAGTTTGATGTTTTTTTTTTTTATTCTTATAATTCTTTTTGATAGTCTACCTCTTTTGACATCAATAGGTAAATCTACAGAAATCCTTGTTCTTGAAGAATTTTCATCTCAAGAAATTCTCATTCTTGCTCTCTGTTATAAAAATAACCACTCCAGCAAATAAAATCTCTCCAAATAAAAATAAGTCAAGGTTGCTTGATGACTACCACACAGGCACCTGCTCTCCCGATATTCAAAGAAGCCATCTGTTGAAAAAGATGAAACACAACTTAAGACAATTTTTACTGTCATAGAATAGTATACAAATTGTAATATATTTAAAACACTCATATGTGTTAAAATCATAAATACATGTGCTTCTATTTTCCCAATTTAGCCACAAGTAGTACAATAAAAATGGAAACAATGAAAATGGCATTTACAAAAGAGCAAAAATTTGCATATTGAAGTTGTTAAAACCTGCAGTCATTTATGGGATTTTTAATACAAGTAATAAGATATTTAATGATTTTTAGTGACATAAAGATACTATAGAAAAGTTTCCAACGAAGATTTATTTCTGGGCTTTCATGGACACATTTCTGACAATACTTCATAGTGGTATCTTGGAATATATTTCAGATCAAATAGCTATTACACTTATTGAAATAATTTTGAGGTTATTTCCCCAGATAGTCTACTGAATTAAATGTGTTATTCATTCATTCTAAACAGAGACATACAATGAAGTAACTTCCATATTTTGTCATAAATAAGCCATAATTACAATTTCTATAGTGCTTATTAAAAAAATTCTACCGTATGATAGTCATCAAAATGAGAATTGAGATGTTTTTAATAATCCTGAATATGAAACTGGCTAGAAATATATTAAAAACAATAATTTTTACACTTTGTAATGAAAATTTATTCCATAGAGGTAAGTCAAGAGTTGAATAATTTGAGCATTTTGATATGAAAGATTTTCGTTACAATTTTCTAAGAATAATTTATGCACATAAAAATATCAGAGTAGGCTAGAAATTACAGGATATTATCCCAAACTGAGAAGAAAGTGAATAAAAGGTAAGAAATAAAACAGCTAAGAGAAAAATAATCTCAGATCACATATATTATCTTATTGATTGAGAAAGGATATGGTTTCACTCTCTAATATGAAAATCACCACCCATATCTACAGTTCTGTTAAATGTACTTACTGTTACCTGCCATCCCTTTGCAGAGTTAACACACATACACGTGTGTGCACGCACACACACACACACACAAGCACACAGAGCAACTTCCTATGTGATAATTTTTTTATTCCTTTCATTCGTATTAAGAATAATTTTTATAGATCACCACATCATCTTTATAATCCCATCATGTATTGTTATTTTTGTGATAGGTATGTGAATGGAATGTCAGGGAACAATATATAAAGCAACGTATACAAACTGAAATGTATCTCACTCCAAAATGCACATACTCCTTCCATTGTCCCTCTTTTTAAAGTATTGTTTCATATCAAAGTCATCTAACGAACTTTTACAAAGTATATTTGCTCATGCCCTACCACTCAATAGGAATGGGATGAATATTGGGTACTTGTATTTTTGAAAACTTTCCCAAATACCCTCCAATGTTCATTCAATACTGAGAAATGCTGTGCATAGTTTCTAGAAAAAGTATAACATGAATAGCTTCACTTTATGTCTACACCTACATCTCCCTACATGCATGAGTGTGTTTATAAAAATAAATCTCGGCACTTCTTTGCAAAAATGTGTTGTTCCTCCTGTGATTCCTGTGCCAGTTAATGACACCACTCTCAAGTTACTCAAGATAGACACCTAGGGTACATCCATAACCTTTAGTTTTACCTCATCAACCCTACACCTGAATAATCATCAAGTCCTATAAGTATCTCTCCATCCAACCTAATTATACCTATTCCTGTCAGTTCACATTACAATTTTACCTTGAGTGTGAAGCATTGCAGTATGCCACCCCAGGATATGCCACGTTGGCATATTGATTATTTTGAATTAAAGGTACTTCAGAGATGATTGGTACAGAAAGGACTTGCTGACCCTCCTTGGTCCCACTGAAAGCGGGAGATAAATCTCCCATGTGAAAGGTAACCTCCCTGTACCAGGACACTAGAAGGCATCCTTATCACCAGAGATAGGGAATTTAGAGCCAAGGATGCTGTATAAGTAAACTTTCTTACTTCTTCACCAATTTACTACCACAAGCTCAAATCCCTTGTCAGTTCATCACAAATTTATCATTTTGTTGAAAAAGAATAAAGCTTCCTGCTTTGGCCACTTCTTTGACTCTCATATTTTGCGGGGTTCCCATACATACAAAATTAATTTTTTATCCCATTCATCCATCTTATATTAATTTAATTATGAGACCAACCAAATAACCTAGAAGGAGTAAAGAAAGGTTCCCACCCCTACAGTGGATTGGCAAAATAACCTCCTAACAGATTTCTCTGACTCTAATCTTGCTTTCTCCTGTTTTTCACATCCTATCAAGTGCAATTATTTTAAAACAGAATTCTGATTATTTACTTCCCTGCTTAAAATTCATTAACTCCCATTCAGCCTTATATTAAAGTCAAGATTCTAAAAACATGGCTTCTGGCCCTGGCTCATATAGACCCTGTTTATGTCTCCAAACTCCTTGCTCACCACTTTATTTTTGGCCAGTACAACATGTTACATGTTCTTCCTGCAATTCTTTTCAAATTCTGTTTCTCAAACCAAACCATTCCCCATATTTTTATCTGATTAACTGTTAGCCACCTGTCAGGACTCATTCTACATGCCATTTCCTGAAGGAAGATTTCTCTACCCAATACACTTAAATTCTATCATATAGCTAAGTATTTCCCTTACCACAGAATTTATCATGCTATTTTGAGCACTAATATATTCTCCATAAATTTAAATACTTAAGAGATCTTTTGTCTTTTTCCCTTTGCTCTAACTTTGTATTATATATATATATATACATATATA